AGGGCAGAATGAATGGATAAGTTATCTTTTTTTCCCCCCTGAAAATAGAGTCACTGCTTCACTGACTTCCCTTCCCAAAATATTTTCAGCCTAGATTTCAAAGGGCTGGAAGAGAGAGAAAAGGCAAAATACATCTTAACGGCAGATGATTTGTTAGACCTGTGCACATATTGAAAGCCAGCAAGTCTCTGCTATTTATGAACACAACTCATTTGCTTCTCACCCTTCTCTGCAAGCCTCCGTGGTGTGTTTATGTGTTTGTGCTGTGCATTTGTGTCAGAGAGAGCTGTTGCTGAAAAAAAATCAAGATGGCAGCCACAATTGCACGATCAAAATCCTGCTTGGCACAAAAGGAAAGCTAGAGTTAGACTTAAAAAATGGGATTTCTTTATGTGACCTACAATGGAAGAGCTTAAAATCTTACTTAATGGGCTAAGGAGATTTTAAAAGACACTAGCTGATTTAATATTTAGGATCTAGACCTATAAGGGAAATAAAAAATAGTTACTAGAATAATAGTTTTGAATTATAATATAGAAGTTGGATTGAGACGATAAAGGTTATTTTATTAGTAAATGATGAGGTATTAGGATGAGAAATAGAATATGTTTGTGAAACAAAGTAAGAATTTATCTGAGTAAATAATAAGTGTATTTTAGACATGATAGCTACAGTATTTTGTAATGAACTAAGGGAACTTTGGGCTATTCGAAATTTAAATACTACAGATATTAAGCTAACTGGAATACTGTAATTGAAATTAGGTAAAATTCAAAACAGGACATGAAGGCGTATAAGTTAAAATATATTGATAAATGTCTTAACAGATTGAATTATAACTAGCAATGTATTAATTTGAATATGATATAATAACTAAGGGAAATAAAGAGGAAATTTTTGATGATGTAACCTGACATATGTATGAAAGAACTTGTTATTGGATTATGGATTACCTAATCACCATGTTGCTTCCTTAACACTTGGAGTTTTGTAAATTCAAAATTAATAAAACTTGTTTTTTTTAAAAAAAGATGGCAGCCACAATTGCACAATCAAAATCCTGAATCATTCAAATAGAGTTTGGGGCACAGACACAAATGCCCCCAAACTCTGTTTGAATGTTTCAATGATGCATAGACAAAAGGACAAGATTTTGATTGTGCAGTTGTGGCTACCATCTTGACTTTTTTTCAACAACATCTCTCTCTCTCTCTCTCTCTCTCTCTCTCTCTCTCTCTCTCTCTCTCTCTCTCTCTCTCACACACACACACACACACACACACACACACACACACACACACACGCCCCCATCTAGATGGTATATTATCTTGTCATAAGCTGCAAGGTGAGCATTTTCAACCCTTCGTCTTCTGTAGCCTGTATTTGAGCTGGTTATTTAATTAAAGATGGGCTCAAGATTGTGGTATGAAGACCTGGGATGCATTTATTTATTTATTCATTCATTCATGGTCCATATGCGTAAAAAAGGAAAGGAGGGACGTGAGGATAATTCATTTTGCGGTCCTGGCTGATTTCTCCTGCCTGATTCTTGGCGTTCGCATCAAGCATTCAGCCGACGTTAGGTCTGCTTCCTCTGCTTAATGTGGGCAGACTCCAGTGAAATCTCAGCC